AGAGAGAGAGAGAGAGAGAGAGAGAGAGAGAGAGAGAGAGAGAGAGAATGCATGAGCAGGGGAGAAGCAGAGAGGAAGAAAGAGAATCCCAAGCAGGCTCCATGCTGTCAGTGCAGCACCCAACGTGGGGTCTCACAGTTTGTGAGATCATGACCTGAGCCAAGATCAAGGGTTGGATGTTTAACCGATTGAGCCACCCAGATGCCTGAAATTACATTCTTTGATGCCCTATGCATTCTGTTAAATTAAGACTTTATTTTGTTTAGATCAGTTTTAGGTTTACATAAATAAAGCAAAAAGTAAGAGTTTCCATATATCCCTTAACCCACTCCACCCCCCAGTTTTCCCCAATTATTTCCATCTTACATTAGCATGTACATTTGTTATGAATGCTGAATCAATGTTGAAAGATTATTAACTAAATTCCATATTAGAGTTCACTTAGTGTGGTACATTTTGTATGTTTTATATGTATGTACATACAGAATAGTTTCATTTCCCAAAAGACCTCCAGCTATTCATACCACGCTTCCTCCCTTTGAGCCTCTAGCAACCACTGGTATTTTTACTGTTTTACCTTTTCAGAATGTCATATAGTTGGATGACAACATGTAGCCCTTCAGATGGGCTTCTGAAATTTTCACTTAGCAAATTGTACTGAAGTTTGCTTACGTCTTTTCGTGCCTTGAGAGCCCATTTCTTTTTAGGATTGAATTAACATTCCATTGACCAGATATATCACAATTTGTTTATCTATTCACCTGCTGAAGCATATGTTGGTTGCTTCTAAGTTTTGGCAATTATATATAAAGCTACTTTCAACATCTGTATGCAGGTTTTTTGTAAATTAGGTTTTCAACTCATTTTGGTAAATAACTGGAGCACAATCCCTGGATCAGATGGTAAGTGTTAAGCACTGAGAGAAACTACAAAAATGTCTTCCAAAATGGCCAAACCATTTCGCAGTCCCACAGCAATGAATGGGAGTTATCACTTCATATCTTCTACTAGTGTTTGGTGTCGTCAGCATTCTAGGTTTTAGCCATTTTGGTTTGTGTTTAGTGGTATCTTTTGTGGTTTTATTTTTGTAAAATTATTTTTACAATTTTTTCTTTTTTTGACATATGTAAATATTCTCTATTTTTTTATTTTTTAATTTTATTTTTTAATATATGAAATTTATTGTCAAATTGGTTTCCATACAACACCCAGTGCGCATCCCAAAAGATAGAATTTTTCCTTTGTAATGTTTGTTTGTTTTTGAGAAAGAGCAGGGGAGGGGCAGAGAGATGGGGGGACATAGAATCTGAAGCAGTCTCCAGGCTCTGAGCTGTCAGCACAGAGCCCAAAGCGGGCCTTGAACTCACGAACTGCCAAGATCATGATCTGAGCCAAAGTCGGAAGCTTAACTGACTATGCCACCCAGGTGCCCCTCTTATTGTGGTTTTAATGTAGGGTTCTCTAAAGACATATGATGTGGGGCATCCTTTCAGATGCTTGCTTGACACCTGTGAATCTTTGTGAGGTGTCTGTTCAGACCTTTTGCCCATTTTTAAATTGGGTTGTTTTCTTATTCTTGAGTTTTAAGAGTTGTTTGTGTATTTTGGACATCAGTTCTTTATCAGACATGTTTTCTGTAAATTTTCTCTTAATGTGTACGTTGTCATTTCACTCTTTGAATACTGTGTTTTGAACATCAAAAGTTTTCAATTTCAATGAAGTACAACTTACCAATTTTCTTTTCATTGATTGTGATTTTTGGTAGTGTATCTAAAAAGTTATCAATAAACCAAAGGTCGCCTAGGTTTTTCCTCTATGTTATCTTCCAGGAGTTTTATGTTTTACATTTAGATCTATGATCCAACTTGAATTCATTTTTGTCAAAATTGTAAGATCTGTGTCTAGATTCTTTTTCTTTTCCTTCCTTCCTTTTTTTTTTTTTTTTTGTATATGAATGTGCAGTTGTTCCAGCAGCATTTATTGAAAAGATTATGCTTTATCCACTGATTTCCTCTTCCTCCTTTGTCAGAGATCAGTTAACCATAGTTGTGTGAGTCTATTCCTGGGCCCTCTATTCTGTTCCATTGATCTACTTGTCTATTCTTTTTCCAGTGCCACACAGTCTTGATTACTATAATTTTATAGTAAGTCTTAAAGCTGGGTAGTTTCAGTTTCTGACATTTTCTTCTCCGTCAGTATTTGCTGTATATTCTGGGTCTTTTGCGTCTCCGTATGAACTTCACAATTAGTTTGTCAATATCCACAAAATAACTTGCTGGCATTTTTACTGGGATTATATTGAATCTATAGGACTGACATCTTGACAATACCGAGTGTTCCCATTTATTTAGATTTTCTTTGTTTTCTTTCAACAGAGTTGTTATTTTCTTCATTAGACCTTACACATATTTTTTTTTCAGATGTATAACCTAAGTATTTCTTTCTCAGGAGTGCTAACATAAATGATATTGTGTTATTAATTTCAAATTCCACGTGTTCATTGCTGATGTATAAGCAAGCAATTGATTTTTGTATGTAAACCTTGTATCCTGCAACCTTGCTATAATCACTTATTAGTGCCAGGAATTTTTTGTTGTTGTTGATGATGTTTTGAGACTTTCTACATAAAAAAAAATCTATATATCTTTCCTTTTCTTTTCTTGTCTTATTTCATTAGGACTTCCAGTATGATGTTCAATAGAAGTGAAAGCAGACATCATTGCCTTGTTCCTAATCTTACGGGAAAGCATCTAGCTTTTCACCATTAAGTATGCTTGTAGGTTTTTGTCAGCTATTCTTTATCAAATTGAGGAAATACCCCACTATTCCTAATTTGTGAAAGGTTTCATCACGAGTGAGTGTTAGACTTTTGTCAAATGCTTTTTCTTCATTAATTGATATAATCATATTATTTTTCTTCTACTGTCTTGAGTTTAACCTAACTGTAAAAGCTGATGTGGCACCTTGCTTGGGAATTAGTTATTTGGCACCTAGTGTTCTCAGTCCAGGACACTTAGTGGACCCCTAACAGAAGAGTCCCATTTAGCATCCTGAAACATAAGAAGAAGGAGCCCCAAACTGATGATATCCTAAACCACATCGAGTTCCTGGAAATGCAGACTTTAAGCAGTTTCAGGCCATCAATCTATTTGATGCAATTCTTCAGCTGATAAAAATCTGGGGATAAAAGAATAAATAGTTTTAGAGTCAAGATCTATAGCTTTACAATATTCTTGAATAAGAGCAAGAGGCACTAGCTACTGTGACAGAAAGCTAAACACCACAAAACAAATACTCTGATATTGGTGGGACTGAGGAAATCTATATAAAAAAAGAAAGAAAGAAGAAGAAACTGTTACTGCACAAATCTGAGTCAGTGAATCAGCTTAGTGAGATAGCTGTAATAAATATGTCATCTTGTTCATAATCACAGTGTGGGCTGAGCCAGTGGAAACAAGAGCTGCCCTTAGTTCAGCAGTTAGTATTTTTGAGCGTGGGGAAAAAGAATGTAAAATTTAGGAGGTTTTTATATTTGTCTGATGGATATCAGAAGGAGAAGCTTCCTCTGTGACCTGGGTTCTAGATGCTAGCATTAAATATTTGCGAATGTGGAAAACACAAAAGGCTTGCTAATGCCACTCTCTGAGAGGTCATGGTGTCCCTCCGTTCATTTCCCTCAGCCCAGGTTCAGGTGACTGTGACTTTTCCTTCACTCCACCCTGAATTTAGTATAATTTGTTTCATGATACATCTTTGATGGTGACTACAGGTACTATTGGCATCTCCCATCCTAGTTTCTTGGCCATTCCTCAGTTTGCTCTGACCCTATTACTCCAGGAACAGATTCGATGTCTTGCAGTGAGGCTAACTGGAAAGACCATATTCACCCTTGACCCAAAGATCCAATCTGTGAAATGAAAATAATAGATAGCCAGTTTGGTCTACTTTTATTGTTTGTGATATCTGGTTCAAGATAGTGAACAAGTACAATTTTTTAATCTCCACTCTATTTTTATTTTTTAGAGAGAAAGAGAGAGCACAAGCAGGGAAGAGGGGGAGGGGGAGGGAGGGAAGGGGGGGAGAGAGAGAGAGAGAGGGAGAGAGAGATAAAGAGGGAGAGGGAGAGAGGAAGAAGGAGAGGGAGAGGGAGAGGGAGAGGGAGAGGGGGAGAGAGAGAGAGAGAGAGAGAGAGAATTCCAAGCAGGTGTGGAGTCTGATGCGGAGCTCCATCCCATGATCCTGGGATCACGACCTGAGCTGAAATCAAGAATCAGATGCTTGGGGCGCCTGGGTGGCGCAGTCGGTTAAGCGTCCGACTTCAGCCAGGTCACGATCTCGTGGTCCGTGAGTTCGAGCCCCACGTCAGGCTCTGGGCTGATGGCTCAGAGCCTGGAGCCTGTTTCCGATTCTGTGTCTCCCTCTCTCTCTGCCCCTCCTCCGTTCATGCTCTGTCTCTCTCTGTCCCCCCAAAAAATAAATAAAACGTTGAAAAAAAAATTAAAAAAAAAAAAAAGAATCAGATGCTTAACTGACTGAGCCACGCAGGCGCCCTTTAACCTCCACTTTTAAAGTATCTTTAGACATGTCATCAAACCTTGCCAGGATAGTTTATTTAAAGTTAAGGAATTTTCAAAATTGAGACTTTGACATCAGCCCAACTAAAGGCTGCTGATAAAAGCTATTACTTTACGTTTTGCCTATTTGTCATTATTATATACCTCTCAGGCCTTCAAAACTAGCATTTCCACGGTTTTTGTGTATTTAAAAACAAAGTTCTTTGGCTAACCTGTATCTTGATGAACATGAATATTTTACCATTAAATGAGAAGTAATAACTGCTAACATAATGTTAAAAATAAAGTGCTTGGTTGTCTAAAAAAGCAACAATTAATTATATTCAGGATTTTAGATGGCTACAAGAAGAGGTGCCATCACTGCTGGATCTCAAAAGATAACTCAGATTGCATCAAAGAAAAATGAGAGGAAATGTATTTTAGACCAAAAGAATGAAATGAGCAAATAAACAATGGTAGTGAGCAAATGCTAGGAATCCACTGGAGTTCACCATAGCCACAGGCTCATTAAGGATGAGGCTGAAAGATCAGGTGGGACCTGAGTAATGGGATTTATTCCAAAGGCGTATAGAGTTCCACATTCTGATGGCAGGAGGAGAGAGAGTACAGTGAGGACACTGGAGATAGAGATCCCTTTAGAGGTTGCTGTCACAGCACCTCTGCCTCTACCACTCCAGGCTTGTGTGGAAGCATTCCTCCACAGGGTTCTGCAGGGATTCAGGTTCCTTCCATCTAGTTGTTCTGTACCCACTAAGAAAGCCTATTTATCTGCAAGGTCAAAGCTCCACTGCTGCCAAATTTGAACCAGTAGGAGGGAAAAGATGGAACTGGTGGAGTACAGGAGCAAATTTCTGTGGCCTAGACTCTCAAGTGACATACACATACTTCTGTTTCTATCTCCTGAGCAAACATAATCACATTGACCACTGCTAGCTTTAAGAGCAGCTAGAAAAATCTAACATCTAGCAAGGTTGTCAGGAGCTCATTTTGATAACAGAACTTTGTAATAATTAGAGCTGACATTTCTTTTATTATTGTAAAAAGATATGCAACAATATCTGAGACAGATAATTTTAAAAGAGTTCTGAAATTAAACTTGGCCATTTTAAGGGATGGACCCAAGCTGCACTAAGTACAGAGGTCCTGTACTTTCTGAGACACAGATATTGATGTAGGAGAGGGTGGGCACATGACTATCATCCAAATAAAAAGAGTCCTTCCTCACCAACTGGATCAAGGAATCCTCCTCTGTCTCTCTCATTTTTTGTTGCTGTTATTTTTCATTTTATTTATGAAGCTATAAAGATATGATTCTAGAGATGATGAATCTAAGGCTAGTTATATTTGGATGTATAGCAGGATGTTTTTACTATTTAGCAATGAAAAAAAATAAATTTGGCGTCTCTCTTCCAGATTCCATTATTTGGAAGAAAATTTGCTGACAAGAAAAATAACTTTTTTAAAGGCTTATTTATTTATTTTGAAAGAGAGTGTGCATGTGTGAGCAGGGGAGGAGCAGAGAGAAAGAGAGAGAGTGAGAGAGAGAGAGAGAGAGGATATCCCAAGCACGTTCTGTGCTGTCAGCGTGGAGCCCAACATTGGGCTTGATCTCACACAACATGAGATCATGACCCAAGCCCAAATCAAGAGTCACATGTTTAACCAACTGGGCCACCCAGGTACCCCAGGAGAAATAGCTTTTTATAGTTTGCAAGTATACTCCTGGTAAAAGAAGAATTGTTAAAATATTCTTAAACTGATGGAAGCTAATGAGATTTAATTTAATAGAAATGACTTTTTTCATGTTTTATCAATTTAACTCCTCCCAAATGCGGTAGCATGTTGTGTTAGAAATTGTGGTTCTTTGGCACCTCGTGCACTCATCTTTAGAGAATGGTGGAAATTCTCAGACAGGAAGAGTCTCGTTTAACATCCTGTTACACAAAGTTTGGTGAAAAACCACAAAGCTGCAAATGTACCAGCCCTTCCAGAAAAGCACAGACATGAAACAATTTCAGTTCAGAAATGTGGTGAGTGCAACTGATCAGTTAAAAAATTAAATGTCTTAAAAAATAATAGCCTTTTAGGGACATAATTCACATGCTTAGGGAATTTTAGAACTGGAGAGTTTGGCAACTGTGATGTAAGAGTAAAAACAATCCAAAACCAAAATCACCTTGCATTTGCTGGATTTTGAAAAACACAGACTAAGCGAAGAGAAATCCAGAACTACATAAAATGTAAGGCAATGGAACTTGCCTAGTGGTTTGGCTGTGATAAATATGGCAACTTGCCTACATGTTGGATTGAAAAATGCATCAGTTCACTTAACTGAACTTAAGTTAAATCTTATTGCACCGAAAATATAGGTCTTAAAGGGAAAACTGAAATCACAGAGGATTTTAATTTGCAGGATGGATATTCAGGAAAGAGTCTCTAATAAGACTTGGACAGTAAAGTGCTAGTATAACATATTTATGAGTTTGCAAAAGCGTCTTTCAAGCTACTGTATCTTTTTTTAAAACATTTTTTTAATATTTGTTTATTTTTGAGAGACAGAGAGAGACAGAGCACGAGTGGGGAAGGAGCAGAGAGAGGGAGACACAGAATCTGAAGCAGGCTCCAGGCTCCGAGCTGTCAGCACAGAGCCCAACATGGGGCTCGAACCCACGAACCATGAGATCGTGACCTGAGCCGAAGTCGGTGTTTAACCGATGGAGTCACCCAGGCACCCCTCTAAGTGTGTCTTTGTGCCCATTCTCCAAAGAGGTTGAGGCCATGTGCCCCGTTTCTTTCATCCACCCTTACACATGCAAGACAGCTTGTGCCATATCTCCTATGGTAACCATAGGTGGAGTCTGACACTTTGCTCATTCTTTTTTCAGGAGGATCCTTCACAGATGCAGATTGCTCTGATTCCCCTATAAAAGGTTCAAGTAAATGTACTAATGTACTAATATGAAAAACCCCCCACCCTTCTTCCAGAAACTGAATCAGAAGAACATCTTAACAAAAGTCAACTGGCGTGACCCCTCTGTAGCCTATGGTTTCTGCTGTGGTATACTGAAGGCATACGTAAGTGCACCCTACCTCAAGTATAGTCCTTTTACACATTTCCAACACTTGTCAGGAATGATCCATTTTAAGTCTAGGAATTGTTAAATTTGTGACTTAAATGTGCGGTCTCATTATTAAGGAGTACACATTCAAAGCCTCTTCAAGTCTGATTTATAAAGGGGAAATCATTATTTTTCTGGCTTAATATTTCCTTTTTACCATTTTTGGGGGGCATCAGAAAGCTCACACAATTAAAGAGGACAGACTTTAATATTTGGGGGCATTAATTATCCATATAAGCTACCCTACAGAAGAAAGGAAGACCTAACATAATATGTGAATTTCTAAGTGTCTCTGCTTTGGTCAGTACACATACACCTTAAACCTATAGCCTTTATATAGTGTTGTGCCTCAAAAGGTTTAAACATAGGTTTTAGGAACAAAAGCTGGAAGGATGAGTGGACTTACTCACCATCACACACAATGATATCCTCAGGGAATCTGTGCTTTTTGTCGCTGGAAACCGGAAGCTTCTAGTATCTATTAAAGAAATTGAAATCAGTGTGAATTCTTTACAATAAACCTCAAGACTCAGATGATTTAACTGTGATTTCTACAAACAAACATTTAACAATATTTTTTATATAAATTCTTGTCAGAGGTCGCCTGGGTGGCTCAGTCGGTTAAGCGTCCAACTTCAGCTCCGGTCTTGATTTCATAGTTCATGGGTTCAAGCCTTGCGACGGGTTCTGTGCTGACAGCTCAGAGCTTGAAGCCTGCTTCAGATTCTGTGTCTCCCTCTCTCTCCCTGCCCCTTTCCTGCTCATGCTCTCTTTCTGCCCCTCCCCTGCTCACACTCTATCTCTGTCTCAAGAATAAACATATATAAAAAAAATTTTTTTAATAAAAAACAAAAAAAAGAAATTCTTGTTGGGCATCAAAAATAAGGCATGTTGGGGTGCCTGGGTGGCTCAATCAGTTAGGTGTGTGACTCTTAGTTTCAAGTCAAGTCATGATCTCATGGTTTGTGAGTTCAAGCTCTACAGTGGGCTCTAGGCTGTCAGTGCAGAGCCTGCTTGGGATTCTCTGTCTCCCTCTCTGTCTGCCCTTCCTGCACTCTCTCTCTCTCAAAAATAATATAAATAAACAAAAAAATAAGGTATGCTATCTAACTCATTATTCAAGGAAGTCCTTAATACCAAATATGACCACAGTTGTATAGAAAAAGTTTATGACAACTATAAGGAGGCAAAAACTCTAAATCAGATATTAGCAAACAATACAATCCCCATCAAAATTCCAATGACATTTTTCACAGAAATAGAAAAAGTAATCCTAAAATTTATATGGAATCACAAAAGATCCCAAATAAAAAAAGTCATCCTAAGAAAGCAGAACAAAACTAGAGGTATCACATTTCCTGATTTCAAACTTTATCATGAAACTACAGTAATCAAAACAGTTATCAAAAAATTAATAATAGAATTACCATATGAGCCAGCAATCCCACTGTGGATATACTTCTGAATGAAATGGAAGCACTATCTCGAAGAGATATTTGAACCCCACGTTCACTGCAGCATGATTCACAGTAGCCAAAATGTGGAAACAACCTAATTTTTATCAATGGATTAATAGACAAAGACGATGCGTGTGTGTGTGTGTGTGTACTATTGTATAGACAATGGAATGGAATATTACTGAGTCATGAAAAAGAAGGGAATCCTGTCATTTGCCACCACATGGATGAACACTGAGGGCATTTTGTTAAGTGAAATAAGTCAGACAGAGAAAGATGAATAGTGTATGTTCCCACTTACATATGGAATCTTAAAAAAGTAAGGTCATAAAAAAAGAGTATAATGGTGGTTGCCAGGGACTAAGGGGTAGGGGAAATGGAGAGATGTTGCTCAAAGAGTACAAATTCTCAGATATAAGATAAGTAAGATATGGGATCTAATTAATGCACAACATGGTGACTATAATTAAAATGCTGTATTACATACTTCTAAGTTGTTAAGAGAATAGATCTTAAGTGTTATCACCACACACACAAAAGTAATCACAATTATGTAAAAGGATGGAGGTGTTAACTAATCTTATTGTGGAAATAATTTTACAAAGTATACATGTATCTAGTCATCACATTGCACACATTAAACTTACATATGTTATATGTCAAAAAGATTTCAATAAATCTGGAGAAAAAAAGATCATGTCATCTGCAAAGAGAGATAATTTTACTTCTTCCTTTCTAGTTTGGATGCCTTCTATTTCTTTTTCTTGCTAATTGCTCTGGCTAGGACTTCCAGTACAATGCTGAATAGAACTGGTGAAGGAGTGCATTCTTGTCTTGTTCCCAATCTTAGCAGAAAAGCTTTCAACCTTTCACCATTGAGTGTGAAATTAGCTGTGAGTTTTTTATTTATGGCCTTTGTTTCGTGGAGGTAGTTTCCTTCTACTTCTACTTTGTCGAGGGTTGTTAACATGAAAAGGTGTTGAATTTTGTCAGATGTTTCTTCCTTATGAATTGAGACTATCATGTTTCTCCCCTCCATTTTGTTAATGTCATGAATTACATTGGTCGATGATCATCCCTTAATCTAGGGGAGCGGGCAATGTGGCTTTTTCTTGATTGGGGTTCACTTGACTGTTGTGTTTACTTTGTTTTCTAGAGGTTCTATAAGATTATTTTAGTCATATTATTATTATTATTGTTGTTGTTGTTATTATTATTTTAATGTCTCTATGAGGGAACAAGGGCTTGGAGCTTCTAGTCTGCCATTTTGTGGGCATTATCTTCATAGTGAATTCTGTTTTGATCACACATATTATTTGTATTGGAGTCAAGCAAAATGTAATATAATTTTCCTGTGCTGGTATGTTCCCCCCTGCTGTTGGCCACGCAGACACTAGGTAGGCCAAAGGAGACCACTGGCATGGTCATATCAGCTTTCCTAAGCTTCCTTAACCTATTTCCTATATTCCTGGAGAGAGGACTGCTCTATTTTTTCTTTGAATTTCTATGCAGCAGCCAACACTGAAGAGTCTTCTTAACAAATACATTTCCAAGGGCTATTCAACTCCAGCTTAAGAGGTGAGAAGGTAGCAACAAATAAGGCAGGCTGTAGACTAAGTTTGAGGAAATAGAGATGGTAATGTAAAAATGGCCAAGCAACTTACATCTTACTTCATCCAAATACCATGTACACAAATGGCTTGAACTTGTCTTCTTACAAGATTGTCCAAGATGTGTTTGAAATCATTCTTTGATTACTTCAATGATTCAACAATTATTTCCTATTCACTATTATGTAAGACACCTTTTACTGGGAGGCTTATCTTTGGGTATTTACAACATTTATTACAAAAGGAAGTTTATGACTAAACATGGAAGTGGTGAAGATCCCTTTTACTCTGCCCTATTGTCCTTTACTTCGCTCTTAATCCTTTCCAGTTATCATTTCTTGTAAATACTGCTTTGTTGAGTGTTCCTCATTCTTTTTCCCTCTATGGTTATCATTCACTGCAGCTAGTATGTTTCCTAAGGCTTAAGGTGTTACCTGATAAAAAGTATGTCCTGAAAAGAGGCAGCTCATTCAGACAGAAGATAATGTATATGATGTGTGTTGGCCATATGTGTTAGGGAGATTTCATGGGGAAGTAGGGCTTATCCCTGCTTCTTTCCTTTACCAGAACATGCATATGGACAGTATGAGATGCATTCCTCTGAGTGGTATCAATGGGTCTCTAGGGACTGATTCAGCTACTGGACTTTCACTCCAATGGCTTTGGTTGGGGAAAGTAGAAGGTGGCTAAACTTTGACTCACAACCGTTAAGAAAATAGAACTGTGCCCTAAAGGCTTTAGAGAGAATGAAATCCAGAATCATGATACGTCCAGTTTTGTTTTTATTTTTCACGACTGCTTTGGCTATCTGGGGTATTTTGTGGTTCCATACAAATTTTAGGATTGTTTGTTCTAGCTTTGTGAAAAATGTTGGTGGTATTTTGATAGGGATTGCATTAAAATGTGTAGACTGCTTTGGTAGTATAGACATTTTAAGTATGTTTGTTCTTCTAATCCATGAGCATTGAATGCTTTTCCATTAAGAGCCATATTACAAAGCTGAGTCATCAAGATACTATGGTGCTGGCATAAAAACAGACACATTGATTAGTGCAACAGAATAGAAAACCCAGAAATGAACCCCAACTATACAGTCAACTAATCTTTGATAAAGCAGGAAAGAATATCCAATGAAAAAAGAGTCTCTTCAACAAACGGGGCTGGGAAAACTGGACAGCAACATGCAGAAGAATAAAAGTGGACCCCTTTCCTACACCACACACAAAAATAAATTCAAAATTGATGAAAGACCTAAATGTGAGACAGGAAACCATCAAAATCTTAGAGGAGAACACAAGCAGCAACCTCTTTGACCCTGGAGCAGCTTCTTACTAGACACATCACTGAAGGAAAGGGAAACAAAAGCAAACATGAACTATTGGGACTTCAAGATACAAAGCTTCTGCACAGTGAAGGAAACAATCAACAAAACTAAAATGCAGCCTATGGAATGGGAGAAGATATTTGCAAACGACATATCTGATAAACGGTTAGTATCCAAAATATATAAACAATTTATCTAACTCAACACCCAAAAACCAAATAACCCAGTTAAGAAATGGGCAGAAGACATGACATTTTTCCTAAGAAGACATCCAGATGGCTAATAGACACATAAAAAGATACTCAACATCACTCATCATCAGGGAAATACAAATTAAAACCATAATCAGATACCACCTCACACCTGTCAGAATAGCTAAAATTAACAACTAAAGCAACAACAGGTATTGGTGAGCATGCAAAGAAAGGGGAACCCTCCTGCACTGCTGGTGGGAATGCAACTGGTATAGCCACACTGGAGAACAGTTTGGAGGTTCCTCAAAAAGCTAAAAATAGAACTACCTTTGAAGATCTGGGGTTTATGTGGTGGGCTCTGTGCTGGGAGTTAGATTCACAATGATGAAAAAGTCTGAGCACTTGAGATCAAGAGAGGAGGAGAGATGCCTATAAACAGGCTATTTCAATGTCACAATTAGTAAAAAGTGCTCTAACAGGAGTGACGATAAGGAACACAGAGGAGGAACAGATCAACTGCCTCCTTGGGAAGTCAGGACAGATAGGGGCTAGCAAATAATGAGAATGTAGTATGGTGGCAGGATGTCTGTATGCAATATACAAAGACACAGAATCCAAAGATAACATGTGCAGCTTGCAGAATCACAAGTAGTTCATTCTAGCTATATCACATTCTACAGCACAAGGCAGCTGGAAAGGGAATTCCGGAAAAATCTAGTTGATACTGAAGAACAATTTTTCTAATTCACTCCCTTTATAAGCATGGGGCTGGAACATAGAGGCATTCTAGCAAACTTCCCAAGTGACTATATAGCAAAAGAAATTAGATTTCACGTACAGCATGGTGATTATCATTAATAATAGTGTTGTATGCTTGAAAGTTGCCAGGACAGTAAATCTTAAAAAGTTCTCATCACAAGAAAAAAAGTGCAACTGTGCATGGTGATGGGCGGCAACTAGACTGGGGGTGACCATTTCCCAGTGTATATAAATGCTGGATCAGTATGTTGTACACCCGAAACTAATATAATGTTATATGCCAATTATACCTCAGTAAAAAAAGAAATTAGAGACTGGAACATCGAAAGGTCATAATTAAAGCAAGATTAGGATGCATATCTTATGGTTTTCAGCTCCCTGTTGTAATCAGCAGACTCTCCTACTGCACTGAGGTATGCTGTTTCAAGGAGCATAACTGCTTCCACCCTATTATTAAATGTTCCCTTTCCATGTATTTTTATTTTAGTTTTAATTTTAGCAGTTTTAAGTCTTTATTTCTGAATATGTAACAGTAATACCATACAAAATGTAAGAGGCATGGAGAAGAATATATGACATAAAGTTAGCTACCCTCTCAAGCCTCACATCAACTACACAGGTCCATCCTCAGTCACAATCATAGTTACTAGTTTATATTTTTCCTGAGACATGTAAAATACATGTGCATATTCATTATATTTAAATTTTCTAGTAGCAACTATGCATACTTTCCGTATGTTTTTTTACTTTATGCTAAATCTAGAGATCTTCTCATATTAGTACAGAGTTTTCCCTTTCATTGTAGTGACCATAGAATACTCTTGTACAAATGCCCCATGATTTCTATTACCAGCACCTGACAGTTGTTTTCTGATTTTGTGCCATACACATGTGCTGTAACATATATCCTAGCACGTATGACATTGGCACACGTACAATTAAATCTATAAGATAAATTCCTAAATTTGAACTTGCTGGATCAAAGGTATGTGCATTTAATACCTTGATATAGAATTGTTCCAATCTGTACTTTCTCGAAAATATGGGAAATTTCCTATTTCTCCAAATCCTTAGCAACTTAGTATCCCATCAAATGTGTTTTTCTTTGCTAACCTTACGGATGAAACAGGAGCCTCAAAACTTTATTTTGTGTATCTCATATTATTAGCAAAGTTGAATATATTTCATTTCTTCTAATATATTTGCCCATTTTGGGGGGACAGGGGTGTTCTTTTTCCCACTGCTTTAAAGGGATCATTATGGCTTAAAGAAATTATATTATTTTTTCTGATACATATTAAAATGAATTCCTCATTTTGCCATCTTTACTTTGCTCATGTTTTTCTATGAAGAACTTTTTTTCTTAGACAAATGAATTCATCAGTATTTTCTTTTATCTACCTCAGTATGACTTATTTCATTTAGCATAATACCCTCTAGTTCCATCCAGGTTGTCCCAAATGACACAATCTCATCCTTTTTTATGGCCATGTAATACTCCATTGTGTGTGTGTGTGTGTGTGTGTGTGTGTGTGTGTGTGTGTGT